CAAATACCATCCTATTGAGGGTAAGGGCTTCAACTATGAATCTGGGGGGGACACAAACATTCAGTCCATAACGGGGTTACTCTGAGAGAAGAGTTTACTAAGCTTAAAAGAACAGGTCGTATGACTGTTTCCGTACCGGCTTGTAAAACGATGTTAGTATGTGTGGCACAATTTAGTCTGACTTTTTTCATTTAACATACAGTCTGGCAGCCACATGGTGGGGAGGAAATGTATAGTTCTCAGTTCTCCAGTTGTTGCTGTCAACCTTGGAGGGCCCTGCTCTGATGTAACAACTCCGTTCTGTATCTTTCATTAACCTTTCAAACTGGAGAAGCAGTCCTTCTCAACTGGATTATATTTTTTTCCATCAACAAACTCAAACCATGTAAATATGTGAAATCAAATTAATGAACTGTGTACGTAAAGAGCCTCAAACATGGTGTTGAGATACTTCTTCATGCAAAGCAATCATTCTTTTTTTAAAAATTATTGAAGTATAGTTGATTTACAATGTTGTGCTAGTTTCTGGTGTACAGCAAAGTGATTCATATATATATATATACACACATATATATGTACATATATATTCTTTTTTGTATTCTTTTCCATTATGCTTTGTTACAGGATATTGAATATAGTTCTCTGTGCTATACAATAGAACCTTGTGTTTATCCATTTTATATATAATTGTTTGCATCTGCTAGTCCCAAACTCCCAATCCGACCCTCCCCCCGCACAATCATTCTTTATTACTGTGAGTCCTGAACCACAGGGATGGTTCAAGATAACCACAACAGAGAGTTGTCAGGCATTAAAAACTGTCCTCAGTGATGTGCAGAAGGAATGGGGACAATCAATTGATTATTTAATTATCAGTGACTCAGATTCTTCCAGGGATGAACCGTAGAAGTCTATTGAATTTTCACATTCCTAGTCTGGAAGTCAGAAGGACATTCTTTAGTGTAAGTACTGCTGTGCCCATAGAAAACAAATTATTTGAAATTTATCTTTATCTTATTTTTATTTATTGAGACACTCCGTAGGTCTTATTCCCAGGCTTGTGATTTTAAAAGTGTGACCATTTTGCGGGCTTCCCTGGTGGCGCAGTGGTTGAGAGTCTGCCTGCCAATGCAGGGGACACGGGTTTGTGCCCTGGCCCTGGAAGATCCCACATGCCGCGGAGCGGCTGGGCCCGTGAGCCATGGCTACTGAGCCTGCGTGTCCGGAGCCTGTGCAACGGGAAAGGCCACAACAGTGAGAGGACCGCGTACCGCAAAAAAAAAAAAAAAAAAAAAAAGAAAAAGCCCGACAAAAAAAAAAAAAAAAAAAAAAAAAAAGAAAAAGTGTGACCATTTTGAATCTGTTTGCAGGGGTGACAATGTGTTTTTTTAGAACAATTTCAGATACCTTGTTGATACTATTGACTCAGGGATGAGGTACTTGGAATGTGGAGTTTGAAGTAGAAATTCAAAACGTGAAGGAAGGAACAAATAAATAGGAGTTTCAAGGCACAGATTGGTGATGAATTACTCTGATATGCCTTAGGGCCTTGATTAGTGCTAGATTAAGAGCCTTGTCTTTTAAAATCACTGTATATGTGGAACTGAGTTTAGTAACGTGCGCAGTTAAGAACTTTGTACATTCTTAAACAACAAGGTCCTACTGTACAGCACAGGGAGCTATATTGAAAATCCTGTGATAAACCATAATGGAAAAGAATATATATATATATATATGTATGACTGAATCACTTTGCTCTACAGCAGAAATTAACACAACATTGTAAATCAACTATACGTCAATAAATTAAAAAAAAAAGAACTTTGTACATTTTTATTTGATCAGTGTTTGAAAAGAATACCTTAAACTGCCCTGAGGCATTTGATCAGCCAGGCAGGATTTTGCCTAACGAAAAAACAGGTTCCATTTTCCACACTGGATGTTTACTCATATGTCCAGAGACCCTATTCATCAGTATGGAAATGAGGCCCACCGACTTTAGAACCCAAAGTGTCCTCTGGAGTCTTTCATGTGGATGAATTTTTTTTTTTTTGCAATACGCTGGCCTCTCACTGTCGTGGCCTCTCCCGTTGCGGAGCACAGGCTCCGGATGCGCAGGCTCAGCGGCCATGGCTCACGGGCCCAGCTGCTCCGCGGCATGTGGGATCTTCCCGGACCGGGGCACGAACCCGTGTCCCCTGCATCGGCAGGCGGACTCTCAACCACTGCGCCACCAGGGAAACCCTTTGTGGATGAATTTTGAGGGCAATTCATCAGACCCCAACCATGAACGAGGTCTTATGGAATATAAGTTTCATTGCCAAGGATTCTATATTTAAACTCTCGAGTTTCTTCAAAAGCTTAGCACAGGTTATTTTTTATCTTTACTTTGTTTCCTAATGTCTCCTGATTAGGCGTAGAATATTGGTGTTTGTTATTGTTATTTGATGTAATATCTTTGATCTGTCTCCTTCAAAAGGCAATTGAAAGTAGAAATCTTCCTAACTTTTTCCAAAGTGAAGACCAAAAAGCCTATCAAATGGGCACATATTTTAAAATCAAGTGCTCCTCATGTTCAAGGCACTGTGCTAAACAACAATCTACTCTAAACAACCAAAGACATATTGCTTTTTGCTTTTAAATCTCCTGATTGCATCCTTTGCTCTCTGATTAGGAAATATTCTCTCAGAATTTTTTTCTTTGAAATTTTACACATGCATTTTCATTCTTTGCAAGGTTGTCCTTGAATTCCTTCTTTTGGTTTCTGCATAATTTCTGGTTTGTGCCTTAATTTCTAGTTTGAATTTGCTTCTTCTCTCTTTACCCATCTTTCCATTTTAAAAAGATACTTTCTTCTCTATGATGCTCCTCCACCCCGACCCCACCCCAACTCCCAGGTCTGGTTATTTTGTTCCTTGGTCCATATTTATTCTAGGACTTTGGGAAGTTGTATTAGGTTATCTCCAGGCTTCTTGCCTACTAACTTTGCCTTTCAGTCTCTTAAAAATTCTCTGTTATTATTACCTGACCTATTATTACTTCTTCAATGTCACGTAGCTTTTTCAGATCAGTTATATTTTCCAGTTCAAGGTTAATTTTGTCATGTACAGAACCACCCACAGAGTCTGTAGTTCCTTAGTTGTCCAGCAAGTTATTTCTGCAACATTTCTGTTTTTTTCTTGCATACAATCCATTATTAGTACCCCCCGCCCTTTTTTTTTTAATGTATCTGTGTCCTTCCTTTAGAATTCTTGACTCTACCAAATTCCATTGGCTGTCTTCATTTCTTAAAGGCTCCAGGACGCTGTCTTTGTCAGCTTGGGCTGCTATAACAGAACACCATAGACAAGGCGGCTTAAACAACAGACATTTATTTCTCACAGTTCTGGAGGCTGGGAAATCTAAGATCAAGGTGCTGACAGATTCAGTGTCTGGTGAGGACCTCTTCCTGGTTTGCAGATGGCTGCCTTCTTGCTGTACCCTCACATGGCACAAAGAAGGCTCTGGTCTCTTCTTATGAGGGCACTACTCCCAGCCTGGGGACTCCACCTTTATGACCTCATCTAAACCTAATTATCTCCTAAACGTTCCACCTCCAAATACCATCACATTGAGGATGCAATGTGAGGATTTAGGGCTTCAACATATGAATTTTAGGTGGATAGAAACATTCAGTCCATCACAGATGCCCATTATTTCAAAGCCCTTGTTTCTTTCCACAGAAAGCTTTAGGAATACACACACACACACACACACACACACACACACATTTTTTAAAAAGAAAAATATATAAAGAAAAACAATCTAATTATGATCATTAATATTGGGAAAGATCATATGCCATATAAATTTTTAAGATAGAAAATGATTTAAAACTGATATCTTTTGCTCATCATTGCTAATTATTAGAGAAATGCAAACCAGAACAACAATGAGATGTCACCTCCCACCTGTCAGAATGGCTACTATCAAAAAGTCTTTAAATAACAAATGTAGAAGAGGATGTGGAGAAAAGGGAACCTTTGTACACTGTTGGTGGGAATGTAAATAGTTGCAGCCACTATGGAAAACATTATGGAGTTTCCTCAAAAAAACTGAAAATAGAACTACCATATGATCCAGCAATTCCACTCCTGGGTATATATACGGAAAAAACAAAAACACTAATTTGAAAAGATCCATGCACCCCAAGTTTGTAGCAGCATTATTTACAATAGCCAAGACATGGAAGCAACCCAGGTGCTCAACAACAGACAAATGGATAAAGAAGATGCGGTACACATATATATCTCAGCCATAAAAAAGAATGAAATTCTGCCATTTTCAACAGTATGGATGGACCTAGATAATACTGTGCTTAGTGAAATAAGTCAGAGAAGGACAAATACTGTATATCACTTATATGTGAAATCTAAAAAATAACACAAATGTGTAAGCAAAACAGAAACAGACTCACAGATATAGAAAACAAACTTGTGGTTAATAAAGGGAAGGGTGAAGGGTGGAGGGACAAATTAGGGGTATGGGATTAAGAGACACAAACTACTACGTATAAAATAGATAAGCAACAAGGATATATTATACAGCACAGGGATTTATAGCTGTTATCTTGTAATAACTTACAATGGAGTATAATCTGCAAAAATGCTGAATCACTATGCTGTACACCTGAAAATAATATAATATTCTAAATCAACTATACTTCAATGTTAAAAATTAAATAAAATAAAAATAAGACATATTTGATCAGTAGATCTTTGGAAGTAAAGAGATAATTGCAGTGTATGTCTGTGTGCTAATTCTATTAGGATCACTCTGTAACATAGATGTAATCAAAATTGTTCTGTCTGTGTGATGAAATAAATTATTTATTCTCTGATGGACACAGTTATAAAGACTCACAGAGTTTTAGCTGTAATATTTGAAACACAAACCAGAGTAAAGGGGAGATCAGAGGCTGTTGGTGAATTTACATATTGTTGCTGTGTTTATTTCCTAAGGGAACACTAATAACTTGGCGGGGAAACAGAAAGAAGAAACCCTTTTATTCTCCTCCATGCATAGTCAAATGGAACGTTTTTGTTTTCTTCAAAGACCTCATGTATTTATACTCGAAGATATGAAGTTATGAAGAAGACTGATCCTTCCATTGTTTAAAAATATTAGAAATGATGGTGCAAAACTTAATGTTTTCTGGTGTTGATTTCACAAACTTTTAGAAAAATAATAAATAAGAGGGAAATATATTCTCTTTGGTGATATTTCTAACAGCATATGTTTTAGTTTGAAATAATGTATTTCAGCTTCGTAAGGAATAACAATATAAATAGCCAACATATATATTAGAAAGTAAATCCTCGAGTATTTCTCCTGAACCAAATTACTTTCTGAGAAAATTCTATTTTCTAAAATAGAGACTGACTCCTTCAATGAGCGGCTCTGTCCCTGTTTCCTGTCACTAGGAATAGGCAGTCCTGTAAGGTGATGGTGGTATTCTAATACTGACATTTAATGAGTGAAAGATAAACACTTTTAATGAGCTTTGCAAACTCTTAATTTCAGTGATTTTTGTCTGCATAATGTTCTGCCAACAAATCAATTCAATCAACAATATCAATAAAATCAGCAAAGATAGGTGAATCTCATTGAGTTCACATTCATTCACTCAGTAAATTTTTATTGAATTTCTACTATGTGCTAGATACTGTTCTAATCACAATAAACCAGAAAAGCCTCCTTGACCTCAAGAAGCTTAGATTCTGGTAGGGAGACAGACAAAAATAAATAAATACGTAACTAGATACATATCTAAGTACCTAGAAGAATGACTAACATATAATAGGCATTCAGCAGCTTTTACAAAAATGGTTTTTATTGATGTATAATAAAATTTATATAAAGTGTGGTAGGCAGCATGATTTCCCCCTACAAATGCCCATGCTCTAATCCCTGGAACCTATGAATGTTACTTGACAAGGGGAAGTAAGGTTGTAGATGGGTTTAAGATTGCTAATAAACTGACTTTAGGGTAAGGAAATTATCCTGGATCATCTGAATGCACCCAAAGTAATCACAATGGTCCTTCAGATGCAGAAGAGGGAGGCAGTGTCAAGAGCAAGTCTGTGTGAGAAAGGCTTGAATGGCTATAGCTGTCTTTGAAGATGAAAGGGAAGAACAAACCAAGGAATGTGGGCAGCTTCTAGCAGCTGGAGGGGGCAAGAAAATGGATTCTCCCTTAGAGCCTCCAGAAGGAACCAGCCCTGCTGACACCTTGATTTTAACACAGTGATACCTGTTTTGGACTTCTGATGTCCAGAATTAGAAAATAATCAATTTGTCTTGTTTTAAGCCACTAAACTTGTAGTAATGTGTTGCAGCAGTGAAAGGAAACTAATACAAACAGTGAAATGTACATGTCTTAAGCATATAGATTGACAAGTCCTAACGAATATCTTCATTCATTCAACCAACCAAGTTATGGATATTTCCATCGCCAAGAAATTTCCCTCATTGGCTTGTTCTAGTCAAACCATTCTTCCCCAAACAGAGGGAATCACTGTTCTAATTTCTATCACATTAAATTACTTTAGCCTGTTCTTGAGCTTCATATAAATAGAATCATAAAGTGTGCATTCTTTTGTGTCTGGCTTCTTTCAACTCACTGGTTTTGGGTTTCATCTGAGTTGAGTCTACCAGTAGTTCAATCCCTTTTATTGCATAGTAGTGTCGCATTGTAAGCACACAGCCAGGTCAGATCAGGGCCATGCCCAGAACTGACAGGAATATCACTTGGGTCATAATTCATTGGTCAAAGCCTTAACAGAACCTATCCAGATTCAAAGGGATGGAGAAACAACTCTGCGTCCATTTTTTTTTTAATTTTTAAAATTGATATTACTTATAATACAGAAAATGAACACAGCATTTTGCAAATGTATCGCTCAAAGGGTTATCTCTATTCGAGGAAATCAGCATGTTACACTTTGAGAGATGAAATGTTACAGCTTGTGCCCCCAAATCAAAAAATGAAATGAAATTAAAAAATGAAATGGTTACCAAGGTAATGCAGGTTAGGGGATCAAAGGTGAAGGGTCACACGTTATTAAAAAGAAATCCAAAAGCCCAGCTGCATCATGATCTCTCATTAGTGTTCCAAAGGTGCCTCTCTTTGGGTAAACTTGAACATTTCGGCAGACATTCAAGCAGCTTTTTCCGTAAAAAGATTTTTACATGACTACCATCGCTGTTCCCATGATCATCTTCTGTAGGTGGCAAGGTGTTGAGAACACAGTAGGTGCTATTTCTGCAGAATACACTTTGGGAAACGCTCCTCTGGCTTGTTTTCGGCAGCCGTTTCTTCCCCTCTCCCGCCGCAGCCTTCTGCTCTTCAGGACTGGACCCGAGCACGCGCTTTGTACTGCCGCTGCCAACCATGACTCTTGACCTGAGTGGCAAAGGCCCTGTTATGGACCAAACTGGGTCCCTTCAAATTCATATGTTAAAGTCCAAACCCCCAATACCTCAGAGTGTGACTCTATATGGAGATAGGACCTTTAAAGAGGTGATTAAGGTAAAATGCGATCTTGCGGGTGCATCCTAAGGCTATATAAGCAGTACCCTTATAAGAAGAGGTTAGGACAGGGACACACACAGAGGAAAAAGACCACGTGAAGACACTGGGAGAAGACAGCCTCTACAAGCCAAGGAAAGAGGCCTCAGAAGGAAACCCTGCTGGCATGGTGATCTTGGACTTCTAGCCACCAGAACCATGAGGAAGTAAGTTTCCATTGTTTAAGCCAACTGGTCTGTGGTATTCGCTATAGTAGGCTTGGAAAATGAATACAGACCCATGCAGAAGATGGGAAATATTACTCTGGCAATATATGGGAAGTACAGTCTGCTACAGTTAGGTTTAAGCCCTCTGTCTTCTGTTAGTTTTCCATTTGTCTCATCTGTTTTTAATGTTCTATTCCTCCCCACTCCTCCCAAACTTTCTTGCCTTCTTATGGCTTAATTTTTTTTTACAGTTCCACTTTTCCTCCTTTTTAAGCTCTGAATCTTTGTATTCTTGTTGTGGTTGCTCCAGGGATTATGTTTTGCATCCTTATTTTATCACAACCCACTTAGAATCAACATTGTACCACTTTAACACTTAAGAGGCTTGTAACAGTATAATTCTTTTGTGCTCTTGTCATATATTTTTCTTCTGTATAAATTATAAACATTATCCTTTAAAGAAACTAGGAAAAAAAGAAAATAGACTCATAATTACCTATGGACTTAACATTTCTGGAGTTCTTAATTTCTTCTTGTGGATTTGACTTTTTATGTAGCTTTTCCCTTCAATCTAAAGAACTTCCTTTAGCGTTTCTTAAAATAAGTGTCTGGTCGCAAAAAAGTTCCCTGAGTTTTGTTTTATCTGAAAAAGTACCTTTATTTCATTCTCATTTTTGAAGCATATTTTCACCGGATATAGAATTATAGTTTGACAGGTTTTTAAAATTTTCTTTTGCTATGTGTTGATTTGTGTGCCTCTCCATCCCCCCCTTCCCCCAAATGCCTTTGTTGAAGTTCTAATCCTCAGTACCTCAGAATGTGACCTTATTTGGAGATAGGGTCTTTGCAGAGGTAATCAAGTTAAATTCAGTCATTAGGGAAGCCTAATCCAATATGATTGGCGTCCTCAGAAAAAGAGGAAGTGTGGATACAGAGACATGCATAGAGGGAAGATAATGTGAAGAGGCGTAGGGGAAAGACAGTCATCTGCAAGCCAAAAATAGAGACCTGGAATAGACCTCCCCTCACAGTCATCAGAAGGAACCAATCCTGTCAAGGAATCAACCAACTCCTGATTTTGAACTTCTATCTTCTAGAACTGTGAGACAATAAATTTCTGTAGTTTAAGTTATCCAGTCTATGATACTTTGTTATGGCAGCCATAGCAAACTAATACACGTCTCATTACTTTAAGGATTTTGTTCCCTTCTGGTTTCCAAATCTTTTCTAATGAGCAGTTAGTTGTTATTCTTATAATTATTTCCCTGTAATGTTTCTTTTTTTTTCCTCTAGATGCTTTTAAGATTTTATTTTAATCTTTGATTTTCAGTAGTTTGAACTTATGGGGCTCAGTGTAGTTGCTTTTGTATTTATCCTGTTTGGGGATTATCTGAACTTCTTGGATCTATGAATTAAGTTTTTCATCAAATTTGGATACATTTCTTCCATTACTTCTTAAAATATTTTTTTCTGCCTCATTCTTTCTCTCCTTTCCCTGGACTCCAGTCATCCAAGGAAATGATATTGTTCCACAGGTTACTGAAGCTCTGTTCATTTTTTTTCAATATTTTTTCTTTCTGCTCTTAAATTTGGATAACTTCCATTCATCTGTTTTCAGCTTCACCGACTTTTCTGCCAAGTAAAATCTGACTTTAATCCTGCAAATTTTAAATTTCAGATATTGTCTTTTTTAGGTTTAGGATTTCCATTTAGTTATTTTTTATATTTTCAGTTTCTCTGCTGAGATTCTCCATCCATTTATTCATTCACTGTCCATCGTTTCTTGAACAAATTTACAATAGCTTTTAAGACTCTTTATCTGCTAAATCCAACATCTGGATCATTTTGAGGTCTGTAGCTATTGCCGGCTTTTTTTGTGAATGTGGGTCACCTTTTCCTGCCCCCTTTCTTTTTACATGTCTAGTGATTTGTATTATGTGCTGGATATTTTGGGTAATAAATTGTGAGGAGTCAGAATCATATTAAGTTTTATTCTGGCAAGCAGGTCAACTTACTGGTGAATCCTCTTGACCCTGTCTGGATTGGTTTTAGGCTTTATTGAGCCAGATATATTTTGCTTTTGTCCTTTGTCCTAGGTTATGACTGTTATTCTCGGGAGTGTTACTTACTCCTAAGGCATGGCCTTTCTGGGTCCGTGCTTGAATGTCCAGTGCTCAGCAAGTTCTCTCAACTGTGGCGTGGCTGGACTCCAACCCCTCCCAGAACAGCTTGGTAGTGTCTCCATTCAACCCTCTGCCACCCAGTACTTGCTCTCTGCTACACCCTTGGAGTCTTATGTTGCTTATGGTCTGACCAGCACTCAGGCAAGTACCCCGGGGTACTCACCACAAAGATAACTGGGAACCCCTCTGTACTGATTCCTCTTAGCTCTACCATGGTATGTGCATTCCAGCCACCTTAACAGCCTCAAAGTACTCTGTCTCCTCAGATCACTGAGATCATTATTCTCCTCCCCGGTTCCACATTTCTGGGTGGTCAGGAAAGTGCCCCAAGGAAGAAAACTGCAGTGAACGTGTAGTTCACTTTGTGTTTCCTGGCTTTCAAGCATCAAACGAGTGCTATTGTCCAATACCTGAAAAAATTTTTTCCACTTATTCTTTGCCCAGGTTTATAGTTGTTTTTGGTGAGAGAATAATTCCAATACCACTTATTCCATCATGGCCCAAAGTGGAAGTCCAATACTCAAAACGTTTTTATGCATAAATGAATGAATTTGACTATGCCTTCCTAGTGTTCAGGATAAAGCCTGGCACAACTGGAGCTTAATATACGTTTGTTGGATACATTTCTAAGATTTCAAAGAAAATCTACCCTCAAACTCCATTATTGGTCCACTATAAATGTGGAAGGCAGGAGTAGAAGAAGGTACTAAATGTTAATATGGAACTTTATTTTTCTAATTTTAGTTAGCTTGTACTTCATGCAAATGGAAATGTTTCTGTATCCAGAACTGTTTTATTGGTAAACTCTCTAGAGGAGATTGAGGAACAT